ATAAATATATAATTTTTTTTTTTTTATTTATATATTTATTATTAAATATATTTCAAATTTTTAAGAAATATTTTATTTTATTTATTTTTAAGAATTAAAAAAAATATTATTATATATTAAATTATATATATATATTTTTTAATATTTAATTAAAAAATTTAAAATTTCTTCCTTATTTTTATTTTTTTATTTTTTAATGTATTATTATATAAATTATTAATTAGATATTATTTTATGAAGTAACTCATTTAATAAAATAGACAATAATAAATAGATACAAATAAAAATAAAAAAATTAATATAATATTTGTTTTTCTATATTTCTTTTACTATTCATAATATATTTTTTTTTACTTTTTCTCACTTAATTTAAAAAAAATAATGAATAAAAATAATAATTATATAATTAATTTAAGTGATTAAAATAAAAATACTAAATAATATTATCCGAAAAGTAGCATAATCATAGGATAATCCAATTATGTTTCTTTTATGAAAAATGGATATAAATTAAACAAAAAAAAATATATTTATGTCCCTTTAAATTAAGATAATGATAAATCTACTGACACCACCTAAGAAAGTCAGCAATAAAGGAATAGAAATCAAAATTTAGTTGATCAAAATAATCGAAAAAGAATACTTAACAATGATAAAAATGATAATTAATAATAAGATGCATTTTAATAAAAATAATCTAATTAATAATAAAATAATTTAAATATGAAATATAATACATAATTGAATAATACTAAACAATTTTACTAAAACTAAAAATTAAAAATAGTATATGTCCCATTAAACAAAGAAATAAGTTAATAGCCAGAAAATAATAATCAATAAAATTTAAATAAAGAAAAGAATTAATCAAAGTATATTTTATGAAAAATTAAAATTTATTTATATATAACAGATTATTTTAAAATAATCATAAAATTAATAATTAAAAATATAATTTTTATATTTATTTTTTTATATAATTAGAGAAATATAAAAAAAGCCTATTCAAAACACTAAAGCTAGAGTATAAAATATAAAAACCATTCTGTCATATTATCATAAAGCAATATATGCTTTTAAAAATGGGATGATTTAGAAAATGTGTACTAACCTTATGAAATTGTATAGATAAAAAATTCAAAAGAAAAAGAAGCTGAATATAAATAGATTAGTAAAATATTTTAATATTATTTATTTTACAATTTTTAATTTTTTAATAAAAAAAAGTAAATTAAACATTATTTCCTTAGTAATAAAAAAGTGAATAATAATATGTGATTATAGAATAAATTGATTCCGATTAAAAAAATTAAAATGAATAGGAAATATAATAAATTGAAAATTAATAAACACATGAAAAATAATAAATATAATTAAAAAATAAGAATAAGAATAAGAATTAGATTAGGATAAAGAAATAAATAATTTGTTAAATGAAATTAATCATTTATAAACCTAAAATAATGATGAATAGATTAATGAATAATTATAATAATTTAATAATGTATAATAATAAAATGTTAATAAAATAAATGATTAATTATAAGATAATGATTATGATAAATATAATAATAATTATAATACAGCTTTCTTGAATTAAAAAATAAATAAGAACATTAATAATAATAATAATAATAATATTAATAATAATAATAATATAAATAATAAGAATAATAAGACTTAGAATAAAAATAAGAATAAAAATAAGAATAAGAATAAAAATAAGAATAATAATAATATAATTAAAAATTATATTAAAATAATATTCAAAATTACTAAGTAAATTTTAATGAAGAATAATAACTTGAAATAAATATAGATGGAGAAGAAAAATTTAAGAATAACCATGTAAAGGAGCAGAGAGATTTACTAATAAATAAACTGAAATTTAAAATGAATAATATTATAATATCTAATTTTAAACTTTAAATTAAGATATAGCTTTTGAAAATAATTAAGAATAAAATTAATTGAATAATCGAGAGTAAAATAAATATCAAAAATAGATAGAAACATAAGATTAAATAGAAGAAAATATATAATTTACTGAATAAACTTAAACCAATAATGAAATTGAATAATAAAAAATAAATAAAAATTAAATAAATTAAGAAAATACTTTGAATAAATAAATTGAAAATAACGAAATATATTATAATAATTAATAAAAAAAATTAGAAAATGATAAAAATGAATAATAATAATAAACTAAATAATAAAATTAATAATAAGAAATAAGATAGAAAACAGAATAAAAATAAATTGAATAAAATATATAATAATAATAATAATAAATAAATAAAAAATATGATTAATAATAATAATTAATTTAATAAAAATATGAATAATCATAATAATGTATAGAATAAACATAATTATTAAATGAATAAACCTAATAATAATAGAAAATATAATATTAAGAAAATTAAATCTTAAATCAATAAAAAAATATAGAAGAAAACAATATTTATCATGAATAAACAAAAAGCTAAAATAAATATTTTTTAAATAATGAAAGTGAAATTATAAAAGAAGATACACTTGAATATAATTAAAGTGAATATTCTTAATAATGTTTAGACCTAAATAAAAACGAATAAAATATGTATAATAATATGATCTGTTAAGAAAATAAAGAAAAATAAGAAAATATATAATTTGATGTTTCTATATCAACATAATAGCTTTCAAGAACAAGTTCTTAGTTTTTCTTATAGGCAAAGGAAAATAAATATAAATAATTATGTTAGGACTTTAAATTAATGTAAAATATGTAATATGGAACTTATATTTACTTATAAAATTGCACAGAAGAAAAATAATAATAAAAAAAATCAATAGGAAATAATACAGAAATAGAAAATATGCTTTTCCAAAGTTTAATTAAAAATAATTAAATTAAATTTAAGAAAACATTATATTAAAATTTTATACTTAATTATGCTTTCTATTGTTCTAGTAATATCATTTCTAAAATTTAAGAAAACAATTCCTTTTAAGAACTATGATTCTTTTTATTTTGTTATAAAACATATTATTTTATATTTAATTTTATTGATTTTCTTTGTTTACAATAAATATTTAAATAAATAAAATCTTTTTTAAAACATAAAAAAAAATTAAATAAAAATGATATATATTAAATGTGTTATTATTTATATAAACTAAATATTTTATTTAAAAAAAAGTTAAAATAAAAATTCATAAAATAATTTATAAAAATATAAAAATAAAAAAATTAAAAAAAATATATAATTATATATAAATATTTTAAATAAAAATAAATATAAAATTAAAAAATATATATAATATAAAATTAATTATATATAAATAAATAGATATAAGAAATTAAAAAAAAATTATAAAAATAAAAAATATATTCTTTAAATTAATTTATTCAATAAAATTTTTATTTTAGATTTTGTACATTATTTATTATAATGTTTTTTAGAGATTATCAATGATAAATATAAATAAAAAGTTATACTAATTTATATTTATTATAAAATAAAACAAAATAAATATATATATGAAAAATAAAAATATTATTATTAAAAAAATAATATATAATTAATTTTTTTTTATTAATAAATATAAATATGTATATATATAAATATATATAAATATATATATTTATATATGTTTATATATGTTTATATATGTTTTAATATATAAATTCATATTTAAACTAAAATACAATAATGTTTACATATAAAAAAAATAGAAATTTTTATGTTATTATTTAATAATTTATGATTTTATAGAAGATATATATATATTTTTAATATAATATACCTTTTTTTCTCAATAAATAAAATCAACAAATTCTATATTAATCCAATAAATTTTTTTAAGTTTAAAATGCTTAAATAATTATCCAAACAGTTATCTTTGTGAAAGTTAAGATATTTGAATAGTTTTTTAAATAATTTCTTATAAATTAAATAAAGAAGAATAAAAAATCTAAAAAATATAAAAATATATATTTAATATTATTTAGAAAAAATAAAAAACGTGTATATATAAATATATATATATAAAATATAATATTTAAAATTATTAATTTTTATTTTTATCATTTATCCCATCCGAAAATTTCATTATCTTCATCACTTTCATATTTTTCTTCATTTTATTCTTTTTTTTTTATTCATTTTTTTTTTTTTATTTTTTTAATTATTTAGCTTTTTCTTTATTTTTTTTCTTAATTATCTCTCTCTTTCTTCTTCTGAATCACTATCTTCTTCTTCTTCAGAACTTTCGGATTTTTTTTAATTGATTTATGTCTTTGCTTATTATTATTTTTCTTCTATTTCTTTTAATTATTCGTATTCATATTCTTTATCATCTTTAGTAGGTCTTATTTTCCAGAACTTAACAAAAAATTTAAAATATATATTTTTTTAAAAGTTATACTTTAACGCTTTAATCTTTACTACAAGTAACGAATATTTATCTATCTTCCGCATATCTCATTTTATTTAATAATTCTTTATGAGCATTAATACTATCTATATAATATATAAAAATATTTAATTATTTAATATATTGATATATATAAATATACATATATATATATATATATATATTTATATATTTATATATATGTATATATAGATATTAATAATTAAATTATACAAATTGGTTAATTATGAGAAGAACTTAATATTAATAGATTATTGACACAATTAGTATATATTTCTCTATGTTTTAAAGAAAAGTAAACACAATTTATCTTAATAAAATTGAAAGAATATTCATTTTTTATATATTTTTATTAATATTTGCATATATATTTTTACTTATTCAGGTCCTTAGATAAGAGATATAGGATTAATAACAATATCCTTATTTTTATTAATTTATATAAATAATAGTTTTAATTTTTTAATACACTTCCTTTTTTTTTTAATTCATATACTCTAATATATCCATTTTTAAATCCAAAAAGTATATAATTTTTTTATTTGGATATATAAATAGAAGAAATGGTACTATAATATTCGGATTTGAAACTTATTATATGTTAATAAGGGTGCTTTTTTTAAAAAATATAAATAATAAATTAAAATTATAAAATATATTATAGAATACAATAGATGAATAAACAAATATATTCCCAACACTATCTCCTAAAAATATTCTTTCATTAATACTGTCTAAACATAAAGCAGTTAATTAATTTTCAAGCATTTTTTCTTTGAATAAAAAAAAAAATGTTGTATAAATATTAAAAATTACCATCAACTCTAAATTATTGATCACTATTAGAAATATTAGTAATAACCAAAGACTTATCTTTAGAAATCGAATAGACCTAAGCATTACTAAAATCAATATGAATTCCTGTAATTTCTTCAGTATGTCTTTTAATTATACAATACTGTAATATTTTATAAAAATGTATTTATATATATATATATATATATAAATATATATACATATATATATTATATTTTTATTTTTATATTATTTTTATTTTACATCTTCATATCCCTAATATCCTTTTTCTACTTAAACTCTATAGCATTAAATATCTCCATTATAAAGCCCAACTGCTAAAATACTTAATTTTTCATCATAAGCCATAACTTACGGACATGAAAATAAATCTATTTCCCATTATTTTTAGAAATCAAAAACATAAGGATTTTTAGATTTAAAGCAAATAACTTTTCCCTAAACTTCTTATGATTTTTAACTTATATTTCCAAAAAAGTTATTTAGGAATCCTGTTATTTTTTATTTTAAATTATTTTCTCCTATTGATACTAATATTACTCCTTAATTATCTTCATAATGTATATCCTAAACATTCATAGGTAAATTATTTATTTAACCTAATTATTTGTAGCTTAAGGGCTTTTGAACTGTTGTATATTTGTCTAATTAAACAAAATATGTGAACGTTTCATTTGATCGTATATCTGGTCTTAATATTAATGCTCTTAAATATTTTTATAGATCTGTTTTTCTCTTTTTTAAGTCTGATTACTGCAATTTAAATAAACTTTTCGGGGGTAAATATGGAAGGTTTAATGTTTATTTTGTCAATTTTAAATGGAGTTCTTCGAATTCTGCAAACCTTTTTTGCAATTACCAAGTTTTATTATTGTCTTTTAATTCACATTCCATTTTATAATATACAACGCCATTTTCTCTTTCATCTATTTAAGTAACTTCTATCTTTTATTTTTTTTTGTTTTTTTTGATTTAAAGTTTTTTTATTACATTAAAGTTTTAAACAAAATTTTCAATATTTTCCATTATTATTTGTTGTGTATTTTATAATATATAGATTTTATTTTATTGAAATTATATGTAAAAATATGAAAATAAAAAATATAAAAATTACACATATATTTATATATATATATTAATATATATATATTAATATATATATATAAATAAAATATTTTTATTAATATGTTTGAAATATATTCAATATTTTAATATTTTTAGAAATTAATATTTATTTTTTTAGATTTGGAAAATATTTTAATATAGTTAACTTTTAAAAAAATATCATCAAAAAATACTCTTCTTTGCAATATTTTACTCTAAAATATATTATTATGAATAGAAAATTTAATTAAAATATAGATTTATTTCTTTTTATTTTAATTTCCTCTTTGAATAATCATTATTTATAATTTTTTTTAAAAGAATAAAATAAATATATGTCTTTTTTCCTTAAATATATATATAAATAGAGCAAATACTATGCAGTTTAAATAAAAGGCATAAAAGAATTCATAAAAACATATTAATAAAATAGAAGGTATATATAAATTATCTATTAATTAATTATATGAATGATTTAATTGATTTTTCAAATTTAAATAATAAAAATTTTATGATTAATTTATTTCTAATACGTATATAATAATTGTTAATTAATTTTTTATTAAATAAGTTTATCAATAAATATATATATATTGAAAAAAATAAAAAATAATAATATATATATAAATATATATATATATATATTTAAATACTTTTTTATTTTCTTTATGAATAATTATATATATTTATATATTCACAATATTTAATTTTTTTATATATTAACTTTATAATATATATTATTTTTATATTATTTTATACTTTAATTGAGTAAAATAATTATTTATAAAATATAAAAACTATAATCAAATTATATATAATCAATAGTAAGAATATCTATAATTATAGGCTGTATAACTTCTATCTAAATTAAATGGTAATTTATTTTGATTATCAAGAATATATTTTCTATTTAATTCAACTTCTGGTTATTTTTTTTTTTAATATGAATAACTTTCTTTTTAATAATATTCATTTTAATAATTATAATTAACTTAATAATCTCTATATTAATCTCTTTAATAAGGGTTATAAGGTTCAAGCATTTCCTCTGAACTAATATAATCATGATAGTTCGGTAGATATACAGTTTATTTGTATGGTAAATAATCTATATATTCTTATTAATAAAGATCTGGCACATCATTTATATATGTTTTAATATGTGGATGATAAAATACTCTTGGTTAATTTGGATAGTTTACTTTTTATTAGTGTACGCAAAAATTAGATTATGTATTTTATGAATATGAATACATTTTTTAATTTTTTATTTTTTAATTTTATTAATTTTTATTTACAATATGAGTATATTTATATATTTATAAATATTTATTTACTTTTTTTAAAAAAAGAATACATATATAAAAAAAAAGGAATCATTTAATATAAATAGAAAAATCATCAAATCCAAAAACTGGCATTTATTCAATTTTATATGTAGAATCTTCACAATCAATTATTTAACTAATACTTTTCGTCAAGCCTATTTAAACAAGAAGGCTGTCTTTGTTATTTTTCAAAATAAAACTAATAGGTTATACCCAAACGAATTAATTAAAATCTTTAATATCGAAATTGCATAAGTTTTATATTTTAATTTCTTTCTCAGTCCATTTATGTGAATCTAACCATAAAATTTATCCATTAACTCTTATTTAAGCTGATTCACCTTTCCAAAAAGGTGAAAGAAAATAAAAGTTAGCTTCTATTTTAATATATTCATGTTCAGGAATATTATCTATTTATTTCTTTATTTATTCATTTAATTTACCATATGCCATATCATCATCATTTCTAAATATTAGATAATAAATAAATATATAAATACATATATAAATATAATTAAATATAGTTAAAATATATATATATATATATATATATATATATATATATATATATATATATATATATATATACTATTTTATATTATATTCTTAATCGTTTTTTTATACTTTCCATCCGTTTTATAATAATGTTTAATTATTTAAACCTTTTTTAAATGAAAAAGTTTCAGTTTCTAATAAAGTCCATTATTTTATTCCATTTATAAATTTTTTATTTGTTTACAAAAGATTTATTTAAATATTATTTTTTGTATTATCATTTTCTATTAGATTTATGCTTCCATATATATTTATTTCGTTTTTTGATTTATTTGAGTTTTTAATTATACTTACGTTTAAAGTTTCTCCAACTATTTTTTCTTGTATATCTAAATTATTTAATAAACATGAATCACATTTCAGATTTTGGGATAAAATGCAATCTTTATTGAAATTTTCTTCATTTTTTTATTCTTAATTTACAATATTTAATTCTTAATTTTCATAATTTTATTGAATTTATATTCCTTATTATTATTATATTAATAAATTTTTAGCTCTAATTTTTTAATTGATAATTAAATTTCCTTGAATAACACTTTAAGAAAAACAAAATGCATATAAAAAAGTAGTTAAAACAAATAAAAAAAGATTTTCATTTTGGGAAAAAAACAATAGAAAGTAAATTAAATAAAATAATAAATATTATTAAATAAATAATTATTAAATTTTTTTTTCTCAACTCTTAATAATTTTCAAAAACCACCAAAATCTATTTTTCTATATTTAAAATATTATTTTCCTATTAAATTAATTAATTTAATTATTCTTTTCCTTCATTTAAAATTTAATCTTCTTTACTTACTTTATTTCTTCTTTTTTTCCCATTTTTTAAAATATTATTATTTTAGGCTTTATTCTCTTAAATTTCAACCATTAATTTTTCCACACAAACCTTAAATTTCTATTTAAAAGTTTCCCTGTTTTCCGAACTACTTGCGCTATTAATTTTCCCCTTAAACATCGTGTTTTTTACGAAATTCTAATAAAATTAAAATAAAAACTACACTTTATTATTCCCTATATCTTTTATATGATAATAATTTTATTAAAAAAAAGAATCACAATAAGGTACTCCTTAAATTTTAATTTCCCTCTCGATAATAAATTCATCCAAATTTAACCAAAAAATCCTCTCATCTGAATTCACTGTACATTCAGAAGGTGCAAAAGGCACTTTTTCTCTTACTGGATGTGTAAAAATGCTCTTTCTAGTTGATAAATTTACAAAATTAATCAGTTCGTCGAAATCTGAACTTTTTAAATCTTAATAAATAGCAGGAGGTGCAGGTTCCCATTTTTATTCTTTAATATTTTTATCCTTAACATAATTTATCTAATAGTATTGACCAAAACTTGGATATTCTTTATAAGGTCTATCACTAAAAACATGATAGAAAATTTCCCTAGCGCAAGTATTTTCGACAGTAAATTCAAGCTTTTCTCCATTTAATTTGTAATACATATTTTGTGTTTCATTCATAATTTTCTCCCTTCTTTCTTTAAGCTTTTATAATTATTCTTCGCTTATAGTATTTAAATCAATTTATTATTATTAGTTCTCTTGTTATTATTATAATGGATTTTCAGCCTCTTCATTTTCATCTTCTATGTCATCTTCAGATTCATTATCGCTGATTTAACAAGAATTTTAATTATGCTTTTATTTTAACTATTCATATTCATATATTTATCTTTACAGATATATATAAATAAAATATATATATATACATATATATATATATATATATAAATATATATATATATATATATATTTATTATATGTATATATATAATTTATATTTACTATTTTATAAGTCTATAACATCTATCTCTACTCATAAATGATGTGAAAAATTATTCACCTTTTTTTGTAAAAATAGAAATCGAATTATCAAATATTAAGGCATTTGGTCTATTTATTTAAAAAATATGATATACATATCATAGAAAATTACCTTTTTTCAACTTTTTATATATCATCAAATGGAATAACTAATATAGTATTTCCTGTATATATATATATATATATATATATATTTATATATATATATATATATATATTTTATAATAAATACCAAAAATAGTTCTTGAATTAAATTTAGAATAAAAGCCTAATATGGAATTGAAAATATAAAGCTTCCCTTGAAGATGAATTTTCTAAAAAAAAGCGCAACCAAAACAATCTACAACATAATCATTTTCAGGTACATTAAATTTCTATTTTAACCAATCATCAATATGGACCGAATCTTCTTATTTTTTATTATTACATTAAGGAAAAGATAATATTTAAGTAACTTTATTTTTATTAATTTCGCTTTCATCAAAATTTTAATATTATTAAGGTATTTTCAAAATCTTAATAAATTTAAATTCTTCGTTATTTTATTGATTTGTATCATTATTTAAATAAAAAACGCTTTAATATTTTGTGAATAAAGCCGAAACTTCTTCTTTGACTTCATCTTAAATGAATTTAATATTACTCTAAATAAAATAAAATTAAAAAACATAAAATTATATATATATATATATATAAATATATATATATATATATATATATATATATATAAATTTATTTTTATATATACTTATATTTATGAAATTGATTTAATTCTATTTTTATTCATCTAAACTTATTCTTTTAATACATAAAGTATTATTTATTTGAGTTCTTAACAATTATTATTTTCTACTTTTATTATTTCTTCAAAAAGCAAATTAATTTAATTCTGAAATTCCCCTTTTAATAATAATCCATTTTCATTTAAATTTTAATTCCCCTTAATAATTTTTGTTTATAAATTTTAAATATTTTTATCTAATGTTTATTATAAATTCATAATATTCTATAAAATTTATTATTTTTATAATATAAACACCGAATAAATTTAAAAAGACTCCTATATTTAATCTATAACATCATAAATAACAACTACAATCTAAAAATATTTCTAAGATAAAAGTGAGTCATTTTTAATTTTATTATTTTAGTGTTTTTTCAGACTTTTAGATATAAATTCATATGAACTTGAAAATTCTTGTAAATAATGTTTTATGTTTTTATTATTTCGCATTCTTTCGTCCAATATTTTTCTAATTTATTCCAAAATATTCTTAGAATAATCACAATAGTTTATTTTTATACTCTCTTCACTTTAATTATTCACTTATTAATTATATTTTTATATTAAACTTTCTATAGAACCATTATAATTTCCATTATTCTCAAAACATTTTACATATTTAGCCTCTAAATTTTCATTAGTTTCCTTTGAAACACCCCTAAGAACAGTTATGAATTACATAACAATCTAAAGTACAACTTTAAATGAATTTTAGAAAAGACTTTTCATTTATTCGAAGTTAATATTTAAAGTTTAGGTGTATTATTTATCACTTTTATTCAATTCTTCGAGAATTTCTTATAATTATGTTTCTTATAATTGTATATTCTATAATTATTATTTAATTTAAAGTTCTTTTTTCTCAAATAGGGAAACATTATAACCAGTGTTTTGGTTTTCTTATTATTCTTTGAATTTAGTGGAAATTTCAAGACAGTTTTTTTCATAATTTTTATAATTTTTTTGGAATTAATCTTTTAATTTTTCGAATTTACGTTCAGAATTTAATAAATTTTCAATAATCAATTTTTTACCATTAATAATTTCATCCAAATTAAAATCTTATTAATCTAACACATTTAATTATTAAATATTCGCATTTAATAATTCATTTACAAATTTAATCATTTATAATATTGTTAAAGGAAGTTATTCTTTATCATTTATTATTATTTATAGTTGTAAAGTTTTTTGATTTTTTTATACCATTTTATAAAAACTATCAATCATAAATAACATATCAAGAAAATATTATTTAAAATGCTTTGTTGATTGACTTATTTCTTCAGTTCTATCTTCAATTAAAGATTATTAGTATTTACGACTGTTTTACATTTTTTATTGAATTTTGTTATTGTTATAATATATATAAAATATAATATATATATATATAAATAAATATATATTATAAATATATATATAAACTATTTTTATATTTTTGCAATACTTATTATTATATAATAATTAGAATTTATTAGTTATTTATTAATACAATTCATTAAATTTATATATTTATAATTATTTAAGTTAATATCATATTCATTAATTAAAAAAGTATTTTTATTTAAATTATTTTTTATTATTATTTAATATATATAGATTTATTTTATTAAGATATTTTATATTTATATTATTTTTTAATAAATAATATATTAAAATAATATTTTTTTTTTTAAAAAAAATTATAATTATAATTGTAATTTTTTTTTTTTTTTTATTTTATATATACAAATTTATTTTATATTTATTTATATAAATAATATATTATTTTAGAAAATTTCGATATTTAAAATTATTTACTTAATTATAATATAAATTTTTTAATTTTTTTTAAAATTTTTATCTTTATATTTTGTTTTGATAATTTTTAAAAATATATAAAATAATTTATTATAACTAAATATTTTTTTATATCAATTTTTATTTTTCATTTTTCAATATAAATTAACATTTTTTTTTTATATAAATAATAGTAGGTATATATTTTAATATATTTAAACTATTTAAATTTTATAAAGAATTATATTTAATAAATATAAGACATTAAATTTCTTTAAAACATAAAAAAAACTATTTAAATAAAAACAACTGAAAAAATAAATATATAAAAAAAAAATTATAAACTAAAAAATTTAATAAAAAAATGGCCTAATATCGTTCTGCGTATAAATATTTTATTTATTATAAAATAATAAAAAAAATACCTATATATATTCATAATTAATATAAAATAAAAAAATACAAAATATAGTTTCGAAAAAGAATTAAAACATCGAATTCTTTAAAAATCAACTTCTTTTTTAAGTGAAGAAGCAGTTTTATTAAAAAACTTCCGATATTTCGACTTAAATAATAAAGGCATAGTATCCTAATAAGAATTTATGAAATGTATTGAAAAAATAGGAATTCAAATATTTAATAAACAAGTAAAAAAATACAAATATAAAAAAAAAAATATAAAAAAAAGGATTTTATAGAACTATTTAATTATTATGATAAAGAAGGTAATGGTGAGTTAGATTACAAAAATTTTATATCTTAAGTATATGATAACAATATATAAATATAAAGGAGGATTTCACCGAAAAAATAATCTGGTTAAAAAAAACAAACAATTACTACTAAATTTAAAATCATTAAGATTTAATAATAAAATTATAATAAAGATTAAGAGAAAAAGGTACAAAATGTCTATTAGGTATTGCGCGTGAATTTAAAGTAAATATAAATATTTATATATATATATATATATATATATATATATATATATATATATTTATTTTTATATTTATTTATAGAATTTTGATGAAAATTTTTCAAAAACAATAGATTTTAATGAATTTATATAATCATTATAAAAAAATTAAATAAATCTAAATGAAGATGAAAGCGAAGAAATATTTTATTATTTTGATCGTAGAAATTAAAATGTAATAAATTACGAGGATTTTTTACTTTCTATAAGGGGTCCTACCTCATAATTTCGTAGAAATTTAATAAAGAATTTGTTTAAAAATATTGATAAGCGAAACTCCGGTATATTAAAAGCTAATGAAATAATTTCTTTTTTTAATCCAAAAATGCATCCAGATGTTTGCACAGGAATTAAAACAGAAGAAGATATTTACAAAGAATTCTCAAAAACATTACAAGACTATATTTTTTATAAAGGAATCAAAAATAGCAGCTTAACTGAGACAGAATTTGAAGATTTCTTTACTTTTTAGAGTGCTTGCATACCTGAAGATGAGTATTTTAAATCAATTTTATCTAATATTTGGAATAATCATTCAAAATTTGATAACGAATTAAAGTTAATATAGAAAAAATAAAATAATAATCTAAATAATCATTCATATATTGTTAATAATCAGAGCAATTAATAAGAACTTTATTAGTAAATAAGTAATAAAAGTATACATGAATATAATTAAAAAAGACCTATCACATCTCAAATATAGCAAATATACCCTTAAGAACTTCTAGAAAAAACAAGAAAGAAAATATCTAGTAGAGGAATTAGAGGTTTTATAGGAATATAGAGATAATTTAGGGCAAAATATATATATATATATATATATATATATATATATAATATATTATATATATATATATATATATATATATATATTTATATATATTATTTTTATAAATTTATATTATAAATATTAAATTATTCTAAATTTAATTTTATAGATTATGGATGATAATTATGACAAAGCAATCAATTAAGCCGAATTTCGAAAAGCAATGAGTGATTATAAAATGAATTTAAACGACTAAGAATGTCAGTTATTATTCTAATTATTTGATACTTAATAACATGGAATAATTTATATAGATGATTTGATTCATCATCTTTAAGGTAATATAAGTCCTTTTAGGAAAAAATTAATTGAACAAGCGTATTTATAGCTTGATAAATATGGAAACTAATAAGTAAGTTTAAATGATATAAAAAATTCTTTCTATTCAAAATGTCATCCTGATGTAAAAACTGCAAAAAGAACAGAAGATGAAATTTTAGGAGAGTTTTTAGAAACTTTCGAATTGCATCATAATTTAAGAGTATGATTTAATTTATAACATAAATATATATATATATATAAAATATATAAATATATATATATATATATATAATATATATAAATATATTTATATATATATGTATTTATATATATTTTTTTTTTTATACAAATATTTATTATTAGGTTGGTATGAAAGAATAATTAGTTTCAAAATAAGAATTTCATGAATATTATTATAATGTATCATCAACAATAGAAAATGATTAACATTTCGAAAATATCATTGTTAATACATATAAAGTAATTTTTATATTTTTTAATATAATTGTCTATATTTTATTTTAATTAAATATATATAAGCTTTATTAAAATAATTAATAATAATATTAATAATATGCTCCAACAAGTTATAAACCATAATATCAAAACTAAGGTATTTTTTTTCAAAATAAAAATAAAAATATATAATTAAATAAAATAAATAATAGAGCATAGATCTAGAACAACTTAAAATGCTCCTTTTGGAACTTCTAATACTCCTATGGATTATTCTACAACATTACGTCCCTAAAGTAAATAATCATAACTACAAAAACATATAAATCAAGAACTTCCTGCAGGTTCACCTTCCTGGCCTGGTTATAATTGGTAGGTTTAATAAGCAAATAGTGTTTATTAATAAGAAAATAATGGATGTCGAATGACTGGATAGAAATAAAGTGGTGAAGAGATATTCAATTAATTAAAATGTAAAGTATTAAATAGAGGTATTAGAGGATTTTTAAGTTTAAATAAAACATATAGAATTATCGATGATGAAGGAAATAGAATGATTAATATTTAAGATTTCATTAAAGTCTGTAAAGATTTAAGAACGGGAATAAATGAGGGAGAATTTACGGCTGTTTTTAAGCTTTTTGATTAAAATGCAATAGGATTTATTGATTTTGATAAATTTTTAAAAGCCATAACAGGAAATATGAATACTTTTAGAAAAAATATAGTTATGTCTGCTTTTGCTAAATTAGATAAAACTAAAAGTGCTGTTGTAGATATTGATGATATATTAGGTTTCTTTTTATAAAAAAAAATAAAAAAAATAAAAAAAATAAAGGAGCATATAATGTAAGTAAACATCCAGAAGTTTTGAATGGAAGAAAAAACGAGGAAGAAATTTTAGGTGATTTTCTCGATACTTTTGAAAAACATCATATATAATGGGTAATTATTATACTATATAATATTTTATTTTTATTTTGTATTTTATAAATAAATATATATAAATATATATAAATATATATAAATATTTTTATATATATATATTTATATATATTTTTTTTTATTTTTTTTTTTTATTATTTAGTTTGCAAATAATTGTAAAAGTACATAAGTTGATATTGACGAGTTTGTTGAATATTATAATATTTTAAGTGCTACTATTGAAGATGATAAATATTTTGAAGCCATACTTAGGTCTGTGTGGCGAATTTGAATGAATTTTATTTTTATAATATATAAAAAAAAAATCATAAATATTTATACAACTTAAATTTTTTTTTTTTTATTATTTTTAATTTATTTTTATTTATTTAATAAAAATGATAAAAAATTTCTAAATATTAGATTAAATAAAACAAAATTATTTAGAATCTATAGATTTTCTAGAAAACACTAAAGACCTTTAAATCCAATATCTTCTCAAAATCGACGAAAAAGATCTAAAATAAAGGATAACTTTAATATGTAAATACATCAAAACAATCCAAGATCCTCTATTACCGCCAAAAATAAAACTTTTTATATGCAAATACTTAAAAAACGACAACTAATTTGAACTAATAGGGTTAAATAAATACCAAAAAGAACTTGAAAACATGTTTAATCCAGATTAAACTTGTACATATATATTACATAATGTATAATTAATGATCAATATGGAGACTAATAAAATCCAATACATATATGATATTTACTCTCAACTATATAAAGACAACGAAAATCTATATATAACGAAGTAATTAATTGAATTAAATACATTTATGAAATTATAAAATAAAGAAAATGTTTTCGAATATAATCTCGAAGAACCCATAAATAACTTTTGTTTAGAATTTTAATGTTAAAAAGATGAATTTTAATTAAAGCCTTCTTTTTTGAATTTAATAAAGGCAAAAAATATGAAATATTTCAAGTGTATAATCATAAATATAAACAAAGGTACTAATATAAAAGAAATATAAGATATAATTCCTGAATTTTATATAAACGAATAAACTGAAGATTATTATAAAATAAAATTATTAGATGAAAAAACACTAATTGACTATATAAATTTATTTCTTATATATGAAAAAAAACAAGAAAATAATAATAATAATGAAAATAATTATTTAATATAGGAAGAACTTAATTTTTATTTAAAAAACTTTTAATAAATATTCATTAAAAATTCAATTTTATCTTTTGATAAATTTCTAAACTTAAATATTATTTCATATTTTAAAAATACTGTTAATAATAATAATAATAATAATAATTAGAAATATATTATTTCTAAAAAAGGTATAATTTTTCTCCCATAAAATTAGATTTTTTCTGAAATTTAAATATAAAATGCATTTAAAAAAATAAATTTTTAACCAACTAATATGAATGATATTTATCAAAAAAAATTTACTATAATAAGGAAAAACTTCTGCTTTAAAGTTAAACTTTTAAAAGTTAAACTTATTTCTTTTAAACTAATATGTACTTAGTGTTAAAAAGAATGGCAATTACCTTTCTAAAAATGCCTATATTGTAAAAATATAGAAAATAAAATAAAAAAAAACAGCTAATTATTCGTTTAAGATTAACATTTTTTACAAAACCAAGCCTACTTATTGGTTTAAAATGATTTAGTTGATATTTTTTTTGATTTTACGGAAGAAGAAAAAAGCCAAATTGAAAATTATTTAAAAACATAAAAACCTTATTTAAAATTTATATAATAAAAATCTAGTTTTGACTTGCCTGTTTAAATACAAGATATTAAATGGAAAATATTTAATAAAGATATTCAAAAAAATATAATAGGTTCACCTTTTTTTGACAACCTTAATTATATAGAGCATTATAAAAAAAATGAAAAAGAAGAATTTTTACATATTTCAACAAAAAATTCAAAAAGAAGACAAAATAATCCTATTTATGTAAACGGATCATTTATAGTAGAAAATAATAAAAGATTTGGATAAAATTAAATATTTTATAGATAGATTTTATGTATTAAAGTTGTATGGATTTAATAAATATAATAATAAGATTTATAATTAAATGAGGATATTTAAATTTTATTAGATTAAATTAAATAAGCAAATAATTATTAAATATAATAATAAAAATGATAAAAAATATTTTTGAAAAACATATTAATTCATATAAATTTTAAATTTTAATTATGCATATTATATTTAAATAAATAGTTTTAATAAATATGTTATTTAATTTCTATTTAAAAAAAAATAAAAATTATAAAATATAAAGTATAAAAGCAAATAAAATAAAAAATATATAGACTAATATTTATATAAATATATATTAATATTCAAATTTATATAAATATTTATATATATAAATTTAAAATAATAATATATATATTTATATATATTTATATATATATAAAAATTAGTTATTTATTTAATTTTTAAAAATTTTATTTTTATTATTTATATTTTATATTATATATATATTACATTTTATTTTAAAAAAATTTTTTTATATAATATATAATTATGTATATTTTTATAATTCATTTTTTTTTTACATAAAATTATTAATATTTTTAAATTTTTATTATTAATTATTTACTATATCATTTTTATATAATTTTGAGAGCTATGATTTTACTAATCCATTTTTATTTAAATTGCATTATTATTATCCAAATTATTATAGAAGTTCCTTTGAATTAAAATTATTATTAAACTAACTTATATTTTCATTTTTCTTTTTTAAATTTAACATAGAATTAGGTTAGTTTCTATTATTATTATTATTATTATTATTATTATTATTATTATTATTATTATTATTATTATTTTTATTTTTATTTTTATTATTATCTTTGTTTATTAAAGTATAAATATTTTTATCAAAAAGTTAATTTTCATTAAAAACATCTTCAAAATTATTCAAATCTTTTTTTTTTTTATATATATTTATTACTATTCTTTTTTTTAATTTATATTGTTATCTATATTTTGATTTATATAATCATTATATTCATACTATACTTCTTTTTCTTATATTTCTTCAAAAGCTCTTATAATTCTTTGTTTTCTTCTTTCTTCAAAACTACTTTCACTTTCATTTAAATCATTATTTAAATTTTACAAATTTCTTTTCTTTCCTTAATACCCATTACATATTCCTTTTATAATACCTTTAATTTCTTCCCTTTCTTTTGAAACAATATCCTATACAAATCTTTCTTTTGCCAAAAATTCATTTTTTTCATTAAATTCTACTTTATTTTCAATAATTTCTTCCAATTCTGCATCTAAATCATCACTAGAATTTAAACCAGCTTCTATTTTCTCATCTCTATCTTTTGTTTTTTTCATATTCTAATATATTTATTAACTATCATCATCTTCAGATCCTGAAAAAGCCTCATCTTCAATAAAAATTGAAGATATTTTTTTTTTTCTATTTTTTAGATAATTCCTATTTTTATTAAATATCATTTTTTTATATATTTTCTTCTTATTTTTTTATAATTTGTTTAATTTATTTTTTCTCTTCACTTAATAAAAAGCTAAATTAAACACTTAAACTTTGAATATTTTCTTCATTTGTATTTTTTTAATTATATGGAGAATTTATTTAAATATTTTATTTTTTTTATTTATTTTCTTCTTAAAATCCTTAACTATCCTCAATTTCTTCAATTTGATAAATCTTATTGTTTTCTTAAGATAAGTCCGAAGAACAATTTTTAAAAAAAACCGGATGAATTTTAATATATACCAGATGATTTTTAAGAAAAAGAAGAACATTAACTATTATTATTATTTTCTTAATTTTTCTTTTTTATATTAATTTAATTTCCAATACTATCTAAACTTGTTTATTTAAAACTATTTTTAAATTTCTCGATATTAACTAATTTATTTTTATTAATTTTTTGCATTCCTTTTTTTAATAATTCACTTCTAGAAAATTAATTTTTATCTACTTTTTTGCTAGATTTTCCTTTTAATTAAAAAGCCTCAATATTAAGTTCATTTTTTAAAGCCATTTTATTAATAAAAATTGTATTATTTGTTATTTTATTATTTTTAATTCTCTCATCAATTACAGGTACTTATAGTTCTATATTTAAATCATCATTATCTTACTTATTTATATATTATTCATTATTTTATTAATTTTCGTTAGTTTCTTATGTTTATGATAAAAAACGTAAAAGTTAACTTTTTTTGTTTTACTAAATTTTAATATTTTTTTCTTATGAGATTCCAGTTTTTTCACTTTCATAAGTTTTATCAATATTTTATGAATTATGATTACTATTTATCTTTATTTAAAATATATATATATATATATATATATATATATATATATATATATATATATATATATATATATATATATATATTTATTATAATTATTTTTTATATAATACATCTAATCCTCTTTATTTTTTATACATGTGTTGTAATTATATAAAATTATTTAAATTTTTATGTGTCTTATTATTATTTTTTCAAATTTTAAATCTTCTTCTTTTAAATATTCTTATTCTACAATAGGCTCGTCATTATCATCGTTATAAGTGTTTTAAATACAATTATATTCCTAAAACAGTTTATTTGGAGGTTTTATTAATTAATTTCCTTTTTCTTTTTTAACTTTTTTTTTCTTTTAATTTTATAATTTTTAAGATTCTTATTATTATAAATTAGCACTTATTTAAATTTAATCATCTTCATCTCCTTCTGAATCAAATTTGTTTTATAATCTAAATATTATTTCGTTATTTTTTTGATTTACTGGTTAACTAAGTTTATCATTTTCTTATTTTTTTAATCTTTTTTTAACTTTTTTTCAGAATTTTTTAACTTTTCCCTTTTTTCTAAAAGTTTTTTTAATTATTCGTCTTAGCTAATATCAGAAATAGTTATATCAAATTATTCCATAATTTTGTAAAAAAAAAAATACTTTTAATTATTTATTTTTTAATTTGATTTTTAATTTATGCATCTAAAAAAATTATAAAAAGACAAAATATTAAATATATATAACAAAGAAAATTAGCAAATATGTATTCCAATAATATATATATGTATTAGTTATCATATTAAAACTAAATAAACTAACATTAATTTAAAATAAAATATAAAAATAAGAAGTCTTATATTGATATTAGATCAATATAAAAGATTACTTATTATATAAATATATTAATATAGACATATATATACTTAATAGAAAAAAAAACAAGAATTTCTTATTTCAAAATTAATATAAATAAATAAAAAAAAAAAAATGTTAAAAGAAATTAATTAATATTATAATGTTTTTAATAATTCTTAAAAAAATGTTAATAAATTTAAAAATATATATAATTTTGAAAAATAACTGTAGTTATTACAATATAAAATTATATAATTATTATTTATATATAAGTAAAATTAAAATATCTGAAAGTTCACTAATTAAGAAATAATAATGTTAAAAAAAAAAAAATTAAAAAAATGGTTAAGTAATTAATATTTATGAAAATAAAATAAAATATAAATAATAATAATTTTATATTAATTAATTATTTACATTTAAAAAAATAATTATCTTTTAGTTATTATATTTAAAATACTAGTTTATATTTAAATATTTATTTCTTATTTTATTTTAAATATTAAATCTTCTTATATTTAAAATTAAAATTAATTTAAAATAGACTAAATATGTATTATTATAATATAAAAGTTATATTTTTTATTAAATATACTTAAATAATATTCTTTATTAATTAATGATTTTATATTAATTCTTTAAATAACAATAAATAAACATATATTTAATAAATGCTTTATAAAAAAATAAAATTATAATTTATTATTAAAATTAATATTTTATTTTTTTTTGTTATACAATATTTATATATATTTAATTTATTTTATAAAAAAAAAATAAAAAAAAAGAGAAAAAAAATGTATGATTCATTATTTTTTTTAATTAATTATTTTTATAAATTATGTTATCATTGTTCACTTTAACTATTATTTTAATTTAAATTAAATTTTTATTTATAATTTTCATTGAATGTATTATCATAATTCCATTTTTTTTAAGGTTTCTTATATTTTTTTTATTAAAAATCAATAAATATGTGATAATTATTATTATTTTTATTTTATAAAAAAAAAATTACTTTTATATTATTCTTACTAGTTTAAATTTCTTAATTTTATTAAGTTTCATCATTAACTAATTTTAAATCATTATTAATATCTGGAATATCTTTAAAAGAAAATCTACTTGCAATAGATAAGCTCAAATCTGAATTTTAATCTAATTATTATGATAAAGTACTTTTTCTTTTAATACAATTTAAATCAATAGAAGGTTTATGTTTAATAACTTATTATTATTAACATTATTCATTATTACGAATTTTTGTTTTATTTTTAATAATTTCCTTAATATTAGCTTTATTTATAATTTATTATTTTTAATTATTTATTAAATTATTAGGTTATTCTAATATATAATCCTATATATTCGTTTGAAAATCTATTTATAATAATTTAGAAATAATATTAATTTTTATATATAAATATAGATTTTTTTACATAATAATTTCTAAAGATCTAAACTATCTTTGATTTTTAAAATATTTATTTAGGATTTATCCAATTCAGCCATTAGTTCAAAATAATAATTTTAATTATTTACAATTTAGCACATTTCTTATATTTGCATTTTTAATAATTATAAGTTTTATTTAAATACATCTATTAATTAAATTCCTATTTATTCATAAGGTAAATTGAATATTTCTTATTTAATATATATTAAATTTATATCTAAAATTAATTATTTATTTAGTTTAATTAATTTTTCTTAAACTATTTTTATTAAAAAATAAACATGTTTAAGAAAATGAAATAAATTTTTTACATATTCTGATTTTAATATTTATATTGTTTAGTTCAAATTATTATGATAATATACCAAAGTGTTTCTTAAATTTTAATTTTCAGACATTAATCTATTAATAATATTTTATTAATATTATTTACTATATTCAATAATTTCTTCTTGATAATTTTATTTTGATTATCTGTTAACATTATTATTATTATTATTATTATTATTATTATTATTAATATTATTATTAATATGATTTGTTTAAGAATTTTATTGAATTGTGTCAGTTTAATTTTTTATTATTTAATTTTTTTCATTCTTGTCCTGCATTCTTCTAATCTATATATTTATAATTTTTAAATTAAATACATAATAATAAATTAATATATATTAAATTATTTATAAATATAAAATTATTTAATATATATTATTTATATATATACATATTTATATATATATTATATATTTTTATAATTATATACTTATTCTTTTATTTTATTTGCTTCATTTTCTTTCTTTCTCACCTCTATATTTAATAAATTTAATTTTTATTGAATTCTGTTATAATTTTTATTGCTTTCATCTTTTTCAGCTTATAATTTTTGAATTTCTTTCTTATGTTTATCTTCTATCATTTCTATATGATTTTATAATTATCCTATTTATTTTTTAAATTTATTTATTTCATTTAACTATCTTACATTTAAAAATTAATATTTAATTATAATTTTTATTAAAAAAATAAAAAATACTTTTCATTTTTTTCGCATGCAATTCTATAATTTTATTCTTATTTAGCAGTTTTTTCTATGATATTATTTCTATACATTATATCTTTTTGTCTTTATTCAATTAATTAGTAAATAATATTTAGAATTTGCATTGCTTCGCATTAATTTGCATTTAAAACATTTTCAAAATTTTAATAACCCAAATTTTTTAAAGATTAATTACAATAAATACTCATATCTAAAATTTATTATAAAAGATTTTCTTATTAAAAATTTAAACTATTATCTGAATAATTTTTAGATCTTTTAGTTGGTGTAAAATCAAAATTATCATTATTCTCATTATTAAAATTATCATATATTTTTTAGAAGTTATCATAATCATTATTAATGTGGCTAATTGGAGTATTTAAAATAAATGGATCTTATGCGAATATAATCTAAATTTTTAAAACTTAATGATTAAAATAATTATAAATATTTACATTTTCATCTATAAATGTATTATCTTAATGTAGATTTTAGGTCACTTACATATTATCTTGATCATTTGAGTATATTTTATTTAATTTATTGACATTTAGTAAAAATTTAAATAATATTAATTTTATTATTTTTATTTTTATTAAGAAAAAATAAATAATTATTTTCAATTAATTTTTTAATTAAATATTAGTAAAAAATAAATAATATAAATATGAAATATTTAATTATATAATAAATCATTAATAATAATA